TTCCCAAAGGTGACCATGGGTATCCAGCATTGAAATCAGAATCCTCTTCATTATAAGAGGCATACCCACCACATTAAACTGGGACCAGCTCTTAGCAAAAACTGGAGTATGAAACGTGCCTTCTCAAATGCTGTTGCTCCCTCTGTTGTTGCAGCTCCACCCTTTTCTGAGAGACTCCCAGTTTCACAATCTTTCTATCGAGGGGGTGTATTTAGATGAAGACGGAGACTTGGCAGCCAACTTGGACCTTTTCAGTTGGGTGAGGTTTCCCAACAAGACAGTTGACAGAGTGAAAGTTGGGAGTCTAGAAAGGTGGGGCTTGCCTGACCCCAAATTCACCATTTACAGAGATCCCATTGTGTGGACCAGATGGCAAGATCAGGTAAAGAAAACCATCCCCATTATTCCATTGTTTTCATTTCCCATCCATTCATTAACATTTTAGGGAACAGGAGGTACATAAATTTAATAAATAAATAAAATGCATGAGATATAAAAGGAGCAGAGAATAAAGGCAATGCATTTCCTCTGGACAGAATGTCCAGATGCTCTTCTTCAATGGATGAGATTCAGTTATGGGATCCAAGGAAATGCTGAAGGTTCTCTCTTTTGTCAGTTCCTGCTCTGTCTCCTCAGTCCACAGCTTCATCTACCCCAACTCTCCTTTTTTATGCTCCTCTCTCACTCAGCCGCTGCCCCAGGCCAGATGCGTGAAAAGCTGTCACCCAGGATTCTTCAAGGTGGCTCGGGAAGGAGAGCCCGTGTGCTGCTATGACTGCGCTCCATGTGCAGAACAGACCATCTCCACTCAGGAAGGTGGGTGTGCCGAGGAAAAGGCAGTGATTAGGAGGGGAGCAAAATCCAACCATGCCAGGTCGACCTCTTTTATATTTTATAGTTTTTATTTATTTTATATTGTTAATTTTAATTTTATATTGTTATTTTTGTATTTTTTTTGTATTTTATTGTGTTGTAAGCCGCCCCGAGGCTTCGGCAAGGGGCGACATAGAAATGTTCTAATAATAATAATAATAATAATAATAATAATAATAATAATAATAATAATAATGGGGCACATTTGGGTGTGCTAAGCCATCCTGTGAAGAATTTATGATGGCCTGTTTGTTTCTGGAATTTCAGAGTAGAAAAGTTTCTTCCTTGGGCCTGGTTTAATGCACCTCTTCCCTCCAGTCCTGGAACCATTTCATTGCCCATTGTAGTGCTCTCTAATGGCTGAAGACCCATACTTGTGAAAGGGATTGTGGGGTAATCGTCAACTGCAGGGCAAACGTGCCTCATCATTGTGATGTGGTGGTGGACAAATGCCACCCTTGATTGCCTAGCCAGAAGCATGGCCTTTAGATCAAGAAAGGTATTACTGCCACTTTATACTACTCTGGTGCACCCACAACTGGAGTACTGTGTTCAGTTCTGGGCTCCACATTACAGAAAGGATATAGCCAGTGTAGTTTAGGGCCACAAAGATGGTGGCCTTATTAGCATCCCTGGATTTTCCTGGAGTATTCAAGCAGATAATCTTTTTTGATAGGGTTGGCATTGCTGAGCCCCACCACTCAGTCCTGGAAGCATTTCATGGCCCAACTGCTGTGCAGTGTTCTCTCCTTCCCAGAATGCCTCTTTCCCTCATTGCTGCAGCAGCAAGGTACCCCCTTGCATTCAGTACCCTGCAGACATGTTTTCCCTCCACTGCTTCTTGATGCTAAGCCTCCCCTGCCCACCACTGCCCCTGCATTCCTCCTGGTCTTCTCCATCTCCTGAGAAACCTTTCCCTCCCCTATCGAGGGTGGTGTTTTGGCAGCACACCCATTTCTCTCTCCACAGTATACCTCATGACCTCTTGCTGCATGAAGCCAGCCTTATCGTGTCATCACTTCCCTCCAAGTGCATCAGAACAAGGAGTGCCCTGTGTAGCTCCCTCAAGGAGAAGGGAGTGGCTTGCAGAAAGGGATCTTTCTTGAGCATGGGGAGCTTTTGGACCTTCTGTTGCCTCATCTGGAAGAGCTGAAAGAGGACTTCTCTTGATGGCATTGCAAGGCATGCCTTCAGGGAGGATGCTGGGGAGGGTGGCTGGGCCCAGAAGATTGTGCAAGCAATGGATCCTGTGGTATGGAGAATTCACAGATGTGCAGGAAGGTTGGTAAGGAGGTCATGTGGCTTGGATCTTCTGCTGTGCATGTTGGGCTACAGCTTTTCTGTGTCATGCCTTCAAGTCACCTAGTGATCCCCATGGCTGAGTTAGGACTACATTCTGAATCGCCTGTCCTCTGCACTATGTTGGCTCCCAGTCAGGCAGGTGCTGCCAGGTGTGGAATTCCACCCACCTCACCAGGGGAGCTGAGCTCCCTCATCCAACTCAGAATCCCCAAGTCCCAGTTTGCTTCCTCTTCTCTCCCACCCTGATGATCTCTTTGAAGTAGAACTAGTGCAGAACTCACAGAACCTCCCAGAATCCTTTACAAACATGAGATAATCCAATTGGAAGGTTTTCCTGGGCAGAAGGATCCAAAGGCTCCTTGGCCCCAGCCCATTTGGTTCCAAGATGGTTCTATCCATAGCTGTGAGCAAGGTTGAAGCAAGTACTAAGTGGGGAGGGGCAGAACAGGCAGATTAGGGGCTGGCAGTGCCCGTGCATCAGATTCCTCTTTAGGGTCCTTCTCCACCACAAGTCACCTGGTTAAGTCAAGGGAATGACTGAGGAGATCATAGAGTCATAGAATATTATTGTTGAAAGGTGTCATGAAAGCCATCCCATCCAACCCCCTGGTGTTGCAGGACACCACATTACACCATCCAACTCAGATGGCTATCCAGTTCAGCCTTGAAATTCACTAGTGTGGGAGAGCCCACCCCTCTCCAGGCCGCTGGTTGCACCATTGTGTTGTGCTGGCAGTGAGGAAGCTTTTCCTGATGCCCAGCCTGAATCTGGTCTGTCACAACTTGAACTGATTGTTCCATGTCCTACACTCTGGTATCAGCATGAATAGATCTTGACCTTGCTCTTTGTTACAGCCTTTGAGGTGCTTATATAGGGTTATCATGTCCCCCCAGTCTCTTTCCTCAAGCTCAACATGCCCAGTTCTCCCAGTCTCTCCTCATGGGGCAGTGTTTCCAACCCCTGGATCATTTTTGTCACCCTCCACTGGACGCTTTCTAGTTTTCCTGCATCTTTCTTAAATCTTGGTGCTCAGAACTAGTCACAGTATTCCAGGTGAAGTCTGACTAGTGAGGAGTATACAGGAACTGCTACTTCTTGTGATTTGGACATAATGCTTCTGCTAATGCATCCCAAAGTAGCATTTGCCCTTTTGGCTGCTGCCTCACATTGTTGTCTCATGTTTAGCCTATTACTCCAAGATGTTTCTCTTGTTCAGTTTGGTTGTGCCTCATATTCCATGTCTTGGAGCGATGCCTTTGCTTTCTTTTTCCTAGGTGGAGGACTTGGCACTTGTCCTTATTGAATCTCATTCTGTTGCTTGGCTGGTGCCAATTCCTCAATCTGTCCTGACTGTTGCTTTGCTCAACTCTTAGAGGGGAGGAAGTCTCTGTTAAGCAGAGGAAAGTGGGCAGGGCTGCTGGTGCTGGAAAAGTACCATGTTGGAGAGCTTGTGACAGTGGATGGGCTGGCAGGTGGCTGGGGAGACAGGGAAGGAATTCCTGGGGTGCACAGCTGGAGGCAGGGAAGAGTGTCAGGATGGCCCCCTTGTGGCTTGGGAGCACTGGTGGTGGGTGCTCAGCCAGCGTCAGGCTCAATGCATCTTGAAGGCTTGTTACCTGACTCTTGATGGGCGGCTCAAGTGTTGGAGTGAGCTGGGATTAGGGCTGGGATTAGGGGAACCTCAGAAGAGTGGTGCAACCTTGCATCATGTCCCTCCAAATAAGGGTGCATGTCATTAGAAGACTGCCTACATGGCTTCACCTAGGAGTGCATTTTGTGCTGTGTCTTGATCTCCTTGAACTTCTCCAACCAATGCAGCTGCTCCTTTCCCTGTTCAAGCTGGTAAAAGCAAGTATGGAGGTGCAGGAAGCAGGGACAGGGCTTGCGTGCAATGTAACAACCATGATTGACAACCGTGCAGTCAGAGGGGGATTGCCCAAACCCAGTCATCCTGTACAGAGACTTTATTTTGGGTGTTCCTACTTCATTTCAGAAAGGAGTGTAAGCACCAATGCTGGATGGTGTCACCCTCCATTTGGGTTTGTGGTGAGACCATGGATGGTCCAGGGATCCACCCCACCAGAGTGCACAGTCTTCCTGCACTTCCAGGAACAGATGTGTCCCCCTCACTTCATCCTCAGATGTTCACACCACACCATCAAAACTTTAAAGGGATGGAGTTCTTGCCAGGGACAGACAATATCTGATGCATGAATTTATTCATTATAAAAAAGAAAAAACTACTTAGTTTACTTTGCAAATTGCTCTCCTGGTATTTGGCTGCCATGACTGCTTATATGAGGAAATGTGCTAACTTTGGGGAATGAATGGGCCCAGAAAGTCCACCCCCGGCCAGAAAGACCTCTACATTTATTTATTTATTTTTTGATTTATATCATGCCTTTTTCCTACATAGGGCTCAAGGCAGCTTACATCGCCTCCTCCATCTTATCCCCACAACAACAACCCTGCGAGGTAGGTTGGGCTGAAAGACTGTGACTGGCCCAAAGTCATCCAGTTGGCTCCATAGCTGAGCGGGGACTAGAACCCAAATCGTCTGAGTCCCAGTCCCATGCTCTTAGCCACTACACAACACTGGCTCTCACTACACCACACTGGCTCTTTATGTTGCCTCTTAAACCAAAATCAAGCCCTTAGTTGTAATACCACCATTTACAATTACACTAGTAATAAGAAAAACAACAAGGATGAATGAAATGTAAAGAACCAAGACTGGAATGGATGTCAGAGTTCTAGGGTGGTCTTTTCTTTTCTTTTCTTTTCTTTTCTTTTCTTTTCTTTTCTTTTCTTTTGCTTTCTACAGATGCAAAGCATTGCCTGAAGTGTCCAGAAGACCAGCATCCAAACAAGGCTCAGGATCAGTGCATCCCCAAGGTCATCACCTTCCTGTCCTATGAAGAATATTTGGGGACCTTCCTCACTGGCATGGCTGTACTCTTCTCCATAGCCACAGGAGTCATATTGGGAATCTTTTGGAAATTCCAAGAAACTCCAGTAGTCAAGGCCAACAACCGAGGCCTCTCCTACATACTTCTTCTCTCTCTCCTGCTTTGCTTTGCATGCTCTTTCCTCTTCATTGGACAGCCAAGAAGCATCACCTGCCTCCTCCGACAAGCAGCTTTCAGCATCATCTTCTCAGTGGCCATCTCTTCCCTCCTGGCCAAAACAGTCACGGTGGTGCTGGCCTTCCTGGCCACCAAGCCAGGCAACATGACAAGGAACTTGTTGGGGAAGACTTTGGCCAACTCCATTGTCATGTCCTGTTCCAGCGTCCAAGTAGTCCTCTCCACCATCTGGTTGGGCACCTCTCCCCCCTTTCCTGACTCTGACAAGCACTCCCAGCTGGGGCAGATCATCTTGCAGTGCAACGAAGGCTCTGTGGCCATGTTCTATGCTGCCCTTGGCTACATGGGCTTCCTGGCTGCCATTTGCTTCACAGTGGCCTTCCTGGCCAGGAAGCTGCCCGGGGCCTTCAACGAGGCTAAGCTGATCACCTTCAGCATGCTGGTCTTCTGCAGCATCTGGGTGTCCTTCGTGCCCACCTACCTGAGCACCAGGGGCAAGTACATGGTGGCCGTGCAGGTCTTCTCCATATTGACCTCCAGTGCTGGGCTGCTGGGCTGCATCTTCCTGCCCAAGTGTTACATCATTCTATGGAGGCCTGACCTGAATACCAAGGAGCATCTCATGATGAAAAACAAAGCATAAATTGTGTTTCTATTTTTCCTCAGCAGCTCAAAATCCTTACTTTTGTGAACAGCCCAGAGATCCATTTTAGGTATATGGACAGTACAGAAATGAAAGTATTGGGGAAAAAATCTTTTGCACTGTTCATTACTTGGGAAAAGTGGAAAAGATAATCAAATCCAAGCATGGTCCATGACTTCCCCTCTCCTATGAATGAGCCACCAACACACGGACCAGGTGCCAGATCAGGCAGCAGGTGGTCTGTCCAGTGGTGAGATCCTTCCAGCTGCCACATCAGATCTGGCATGTCAAGCTCTTAGCTCTGGAAAATGGATTGACCATCAAGTCACAACTCTGCAGTGTCTCCCTGGACTGTTGCACAGCTGAATTCCCTGGAAAGGCTTAGTAGGTGGTCACTGTGGGGGCAAGGCACACAGGAGCAAACATCATTTCCAAAATCCTGCAGAATCTGGCCAACCAGCTGTGAAAGAGATAAGTGAAGGGGTGTCACACAGTGGACGGCCTTTACATTTTCTCCTCTGTTGTGAAGGAAAGGACACCGTCCAATGGGGCAAAGCTCAAGTAACTGGATTTCAGGTTGGATGTCAGGAAGTACTTCCTGATGATCAGGACGCATCGGATGTGGAATGGGCTTCCAAGGGAGGTGGTTGAGGCTCCATCAGTGAGGCTATTGAAGGACATATTGGGGACTACATGATCAGAGCTGGCTGGAACAAGGGGCAGACTAGATGGCCCAGGAGGCCCCTTCTGACTCACTATGTTTCTATGTTTCCATCTGCTGGAATTAGCACAAGTGTAAAGAAAGCTGAGAGGAAGGAAATGGATCCATGTGATACTTGCTGCTTGGGGAATATCCTGGACTGACAGAAAGACAAACAAGACAGTCCCAGATCATATCAAGCCAGAATTTTTCCTGGAAACTAAAATGACAATACTGAGGCTGCCACTGTTTGGACACCTCATGAGAAGGCCAGACTCCCTGGAGAAGACCTTCATTGTTGGGGAAGTCAAAGGCAGAGGAGGAGGAAGACATCCACTGAGATTTGTTGACTCCATCAAGACATCCATAGCCTTGAGTATGCAGAGTGGAGTAGGGCTGTCAGGGACAGGGCATTTCTGAGGGCATGCAGAGGGCTTCCAGAGGCTGGAGATGACTTGATGGCACACAAAGCAACAGCAGCAACACCCACCGGTGCTTTGGCCACAGACCTGCCTCCTGGATCATGGATGGAGTAGTGGTACAAGTTCATATCCATGCTTTGGCATTGAAATGTCTCATGAAAAAGTGTGCTTGTGTTTTGTCTTAGGGATTTGTCTAAGGGAGGTGTCTTAGGGAGTTGTCCTGGAAAGAAATATGAAAGACAATGTCCATTTTGTGATAGATGCAATTGAATGGATCAAGAAGAAAAGGAAAAAGCTGCATTTATCTTTTTAGATGTGGCAAAAGCCTTTGATATTGTGGCTTGGGCTTTAGTAGTGAAAAACTCCAACATTTAGACCATGGCTCAAGCTTTTTGAATTGGATGCAGTCACTTTATGGTAGACAACATGCGAAGATTTTAATCAATGGTGTATGAACTGACCGCTTTCAAATGGAGAAGGGAGCACAGCAAGGATGCCCTTGATCCCCTCTTTTATTTAATCTTGTACTGGAAATCATGGCAAAAAAATAAGACAGCATCCAAAAATTGAAGGCTTTAAAACAGGTGGAGAAGAATATAAAATAAAATGTTACCCAGATGATATAGTCTGGACTATTTTGGATCCACATCAATCCATACAGCACTTAATGGAGCAAGTTGAACAATCTGGATTTTATTCAGGATATATGATGAATAAGAACAAAATTTTATTAAAATTTGTAACAAATTGAGAATAGGAAAAAAAAAAACAAATCTCAGGACGTGAAATAAGTTCAAACTGAGTTAAATACTTAGGGATAAACATCACAGGACATAAAGACACTTTTTCAAGACAATTATCAAACAACTTGGGTGAAGATTCTAAAAGACTTACAAAAATGGACTGAAATACAAGCAAATTGGTTGGGGAGAATTTCAATTATACAAATGAATGCCTTACCTAAACTGAACTTTCCTTTTCAGATACCAGTTGTGATCCAGGAAAAAGTCCTTTAAGATTGGTAGAGACAATTGAATAATTTTATGTAGAATAGCAAGAAACCGAGGATAAGGTTAAAAATTCTCCATGTAAAGGAAAAAGGAGGCTTTGCTGTACCTAATCTGAAGTTATATTATTATGTTGCACACCTGGTCTATATTACCGATTGGACTGTAAGTGCTAAGGAGAGGAGAGTGAAGTTAGAGTGCTTGATTGTATGAGTCCACTGAAATCAAGTATTCATTCCAAGCATCTCTGGAATTCTGACAGATGGCAACGAGGATGGGATTGGTGGTTCTCCTGTATCAGTCCTGGCCCATAGGAAGGCAAGCCACAGCTGCATTCTCCAGGGGCAAAAAGAGGACCTTTTCCTCTTGCATTCCAAAGGGCCAGGATGCCAGGAGAGACTTGCAGGGTCCTTCCAGCCCTCCCTGCACTCAGGTTCCTTTGCAGTAGCAGCAGAAGCTTCGGGATGGTCAGGATCTCCTGAAGTCCCCTGCGGTGCACCAGTGGAAACAGTTTGCACGGTCTGGCCACCTGGGTAGGACACAGCCCGGAGCATCAAAGAAAAGTTAGTATAGTGATTTGGACATCTACATGCAGGATCTTGTACTGGGGCACCAGGAGCCACAAATGTGGGGTTTCTTTAGAGATGTACAGGATCTGTTTACATTGGTTTTCAGCAAGTCCTGTTGTGCTTGTGTCTGTCTTCTTTGTGTTGCACCCGTCTAAGCCTTTGTTTCAAAGTATTCCCCTTTCAAGGCAGCAGCAGTAGCTCCATGTGGGTGGCTGAGGGCATCTCAGGAAACAGAAGACCCTTGCAGCCGCACCCCCTGTCCTGCTAGGCTGATTGGCTGAAGACCAAGCTTGGGCTGAAAGAGAGGGCATGGGGGGCATGCCGGTCCCAGGGAGGAGGGTGTGTGCAACCCTGGCATGGTTCAGGCAATGGTCTATGCTGCAGCTGCTTGAGCCCAAGCGAGGCGGAGTTTTGCTGGGGGAAGGCGGTGATCAGGCTGTGTGTGTGGGCAAGGGGGGGGGGATTCTTTCCTTCCCCCACCCCACCTGCTGTGATGGGAATGAGCCGCAACCGGGAAGTGGCAAAATGTTTGCACTCTTAACTGGGTCTGCAGCACGGGATTCAGTAAGTCATCAAATTATCCTCTCGGAGCCAGCAACATAAAAACTGGCCTCTGAGATTGAACAGATGAGTTCTGCAATGCTGCCAAATGATAAATGTCTCAATGTGCAAGAAAAGCAATGTGAAACTCCTCTTGAGAGCAGGAAGAGAAAGATCAGAAGAAGGGAATGCCTTGCTTCACATGAGGTAGAATTGAAGCAATCCTTTCCCAGCCCTACTAGATCAGGCTTCATTTGTGAGTAGCAGTGACACTGCACTGAGGGTGGTTGACCTTTCTGGAGCAGATATCAAGCTGGACTCCAGTATTAGCAACCTTGGCCATGCCCAAAGATTGGACTCCTTCTGGAGAGCAGTCACATGGCTGGGGCCTGCTGGGTACCACTGCATCAGCTCCTGCCTCACATTTCCTGGGATGTGTTGGAGGCAACTGGGCTGCCAAACTCAGTGCACCATTTCTGTGATCCCCTCATTTTTGTAGGCCAGAAGTTTATGTCCTCAGGGGGGTCCCCTTGCCTTTCATCTGAAAGAGTGCAGCAGCCCACTACTGACCTCTGGGGGAGAAGAGGGAGTGTATTCTGGGGAGCAGAGAGGGGAGGAGTTTGAGGCTCTACTTTTATGTTCATGCTGCATTCATTCCCTGCCTTTTTCCTTCTTGCCCTGCCCCCAAGTGGTGTACACATGTGTCCTGCTCTCCTTTTTCTCCTCTCTACAACCAACACCCTACAAGGGAGGTGACCTCAGAGGGAGTGATTGGCCAAGAATCTTTAGGGAGCTTTGAGGATAAGGGGAGGTTGAACCGGACCCGCACCCACCAGATCACCATGCCTCTCAGAGGACCCTGCAGACTCCCTCATGCTTTCCTGCCACAGTTCGGCTCTTCACCTTGTGGGAATTTTATTTCATCCCCTATTTTCACCCTACAAGTAATAAGCCAGCCAGGAGCAGGTGGCTCCCAGTGCTGGTTGGCCCCCTCGGGCAGGAAGCAGGAAACCCACACCCCAGCCTCAGCTCTCAGGTCCTTTCCTGCAATATGCAAAATGGGGAGATGCCTCATTATTCTCCAGGGACACAGGGATGCCCCCTTTGATGCAGTGATAAAACGGAGCAGCACAACAACAACAAAAAAAGAAACATAGAACCATAGAAAACAGAGCAAGTCAGAAGGGGTCTCTCGGGCCATCTAGTCTGACCTCTGGCACCAGCCAGCTCTGCTCACAACATGCCTACCATGTGGACGTCCAGCCTATCCTTAAACACCTGCACCAATGGGGCCTCAACCACCTCCCGGGGAAGTCCATTCCACACCCTCGGGGTCCTGACTGTCAGGACTGGCATCCAAACGGAACCTTGGCTCCCTGAGCTTTGCTCCATTGGAGCGCGTCCTGCCTTCCTCTGCAGGGAAGAACAGGTCTCTACCCATCTCCATGTGACATCCCCTCACATACCTATATGTTGCCAACATGTCCCCTCTGAGTCTCCTCTTCTCCAGGCTGAAGAGACACAGTTCCCTCTGTCTCGCCTCATACGGCATCCCCTGCAAACCGGCCACCAACCTTGTGGCCCTACGCTGCACTGACTCCAACCTGGCTATATCCTTTCTGTAATGAGGGGCCCAAACTGAGCACAATACTCCAGTTGTGGGAGCATTAGAGTGGTGTAGAGTGGTAGTAACACCTCTCTTGATCTAGAAGCCACACTTCTG